TTATACAGGGTGTCTCATAATAGGTGTATCACCGTTCATGGGTAGGTAGAACGGACTAAACTGAATCGAAAAGTCCTCTACCATTTTGCAAAATTCGCAATCGTAAACCAGACATTCATTTTTGAAGATTGACGAATAAACGCGTATTCATCCGGCCCACCGCTGAATGCAAGTGTGTGGCAAGATAAGTAGATTAAACTGAACAAAAAAGTCCTCTATTATTTTGTAAAATTCGCATTTATTAACGAGATATTAAGTTTATTCGCCGATCTTCAAAAATTAATATCTTGTTAACAATTGCGAATTTTGCAAAATGGTAGAGGACTTTTCTGTTTAGTTTAGTCTGTTCTATCTATCCATAAACGGTGATACACCTATTATGAGACACCCTGTATATATATATTGACAAATACAAAACAAAAATATTCACTAATTTTCTCTCACCTCTGAGCCTGAAGAGCTCGGTACTGTAGTTACGGCATTCCTTCTGACTAGCATCCAGCTCGGCGGCGAGATCGTCGACCTTGAGCTTCCATTCCCCGATGATCTTGTCGAAGGCCTTCTGTTTCTTTTCGGCAGCGTTGGCGATGGCGGTGGCGCGATCCACTTCGATTTGCAGATCCTCCACCTCGGTGGACAGCCGTTGCTTGGTCTTTTCCAGAGCGATGACCTTCTGGTTGAGAGACTCGATGGTCTCCTCGGCCTCGGCCAGCCTGGCTTGCAGCTTTCTCTTCGCCTCCTCAAGCTCCTCAGCCCGGGCCACGCCCTCGGACTCGTACTTCGTGCGCCAGAGCTGCGCCTCGGCGTTCGCCTTGCTGAGCTGACGCTGAAGATCGGCCTTACCCTCGGCCTCCTCCTCCACTTGTTCGCGGATGTTGTCCAGATCGTGCTCCAGATTGCGGAACTTGCCGAGCAAGGTGGCGCGCTCGCGCGACTCCTCGTCCGCGAGCCTCTTCGTATCCTCCAGTTGTGTGGTGAGCGAGATCTTGATCTTAGACAGCTGGCTGACCTGCGACTCGGCCTCCTCCAGTTGGCGCAGCAGGTCGCTGTTCTCGATCGACAGCTTCTTCTTCGCGGCATCGAAGTCGTTCAGAGTGCGGTTCACTTCCTCAAGTTTGCCCTGGGTCTCGTTCAAC